AGTTTAATTTATATGATATTTTAATTAGGATTTACTAATACTCAATCATGTCCATATATATTGATTGCAACAATGTAACCTTTGCAATTTTATGTGATTATGGTCAATTAATTAGATCAAAAATATTAAAATTATTATTACATAAATTCAGTACAAAATTTTAATAGTTTTTGTTTTACAGGCGTGGTGATTGATTAGAACTTTGATTAAAACGGATCGGATCCCATTCCGAGAACAACCATTCAAGCACAATAAAAAATAATTTATTAAGTTTAATAAAAAATAATTTAGTAAGTTGAAAAAATAAATAATAATTTTAAATAACTGTTTTGTAAAAATAAAAAGATTTTAATAGAATATAATTTTTTTTATAAGTATATAATTTCATATGTCATTTTGTGTGATTTCATTATCAGTTAGTAGTAGCTTGTAATTAAATATATAAAAAATATAGTTACTGGATTAGCTGAAAAATATAATTTTAGACAATGTAATGTTTTGTTTCTAAAATTAGCTGAAAATGAGAATAAAAATATTAGTTTTTACATTAAATTCTTTACCTAAATATATTAGTCTAAAATTAACAAAATTAAATTATTTGAGTACTGAAAAATGGTACATTCTTTTATTATAGTAAATCCGTGTGAGAGAAACTTTTGAACACTGTTAATATACTTAAAAAAAAGTTATTGTGCTCATTTTTATTTTCGTTTAATATTTTTTTTTTCACAAATTAATTAAAGAATCCATTCAACTTTTAAATTTTGATAAATTTTATTTTCAACAAATTAATTAAAGAAAGCTTTTGAATTTGGAAGAAAAGTTTTATCCAGTGTTTTAAATACCGGTATGTACCGGCCGGTTTTACCGGTAATACCGGATACCGGTGGTCCAACCGGTATGATTACCTCCAAAATACCGTATTGGCCAAAATACCGGTATATACCGGCTTCATACCGGAAAATATCGGTTTTACCGGCCAAAATACCGGGCTTACCGGATTTTCTTAAAAAAATATTTTTATAACATATTTTTATTAATTTATTTATATAAATAGAAAGTTCTACATTTAAATTTAATATATTTACATTGTTATTTGACTTTAGATAATTTTAGTATTTATTGTAGTTAGTTTTATATATTATTTATATTACAATAATAGATTAATTTAATATTGATTAAAACCGGTAAAATAGACGGTTTTACCGGTTGAACTGATTGAACCGCGTACCGGTGGCCCGTCCGGTATGGTAACCGGTACGGTATTTAAAACATTGATTTTAACAAACAATCACTTTATATCATCTCTCCTACTTTTACATCAAATCAACTTTAAAAATATAAACTAAAAATCTCATTAACAACTAATATATCACTTTTTTAAAATTAAACATGATTAACTAAAAGAATTCATTTTGAACGGATATATTAATATACAAACACGCCTTTAGATATTATGTTGTGGTAAGTACACATATAAGTCTAAGTAGATTATTTATAGAATCAATTGGACAAAATTTACTTATAAGTATATATAATTTTACAAATCAAAGGATATATTAAATATTGCATGATATATATTTCTTATATACATTAATCGTTGATTACCTTCATTAAAGGGTAATCTTATTTTATTTTTTTTTATTTTTTATTAGAAAAAAAAAAACTTAAAAGTTTGGTGTCATTTTACAAAATTGGAGTTTTTTTTTTNGGAGAGTGGACCAACATAGAAAGCACGTATTTCGTAAATACGTTTTCTGTGTAATTTAATTAAAAAACGTATTCCTTAAATACGTTTTTTACATTTTTTTTTACAAAGGAAACCGTATTCACGGAATACGTTTTACAAAAAAAAAAATTGAAAAACCGTATTCAAGGAATACGGCCTTTCTATTCTTTTTCACTCCCTTTTTTCTTTTTCTTTTTATGTCCACAACTTTTCTTTTTTTTTTTTTCCCGGAAAAAAATCTTGAATCTGTAACTTTATGTGGTTTGATGTAATTATAACTGCCTAATGGTTTACTCATGGTTTATTTTATTTTTTGAAATTTCAATATTAATTCATTTTCACCTTTTATCCGACCATTAATCACATTATGTTAACAAATGTCATTCAATCACTACTTGAGACACTACTTTCTATGTATATAATTTTCATATCAAACCATTTCATCATTAAATTTTAATTTCACTGACATTCATATTTTCATACTTTTTTTTTTCTCTAAAAGTAAAATTAATTAGAAAAAATGTATCCAAGCCATACAACCATTTTGAAATGAGTACTGAGATGTTTTCTCTTTCCTAGCAATTCGTAATGTGAAGCATTTTTTTTTTTTCACAAATAGTACTTTCATTTGCCTTTTAGAAAAATATATTTGGTTTTTTATATATATTAGTACAATGTACTACATGGATATTAGATGAAGACATATATATAAATTGTTTCATTCGATGAGAAGAATGGAGCAAATATAGTATATATAGTAAGTGAAACGTGCTATGAAAAGAGTAACGATGTATAATCTATACGGAAGGAAGCGCCACAAGTAGAGACGAAAAAGGAACATGGGATTATTTTTATTCACAATTATTATTATTCAATATTTTTTTAATCAAATATAATAGTCCTTAATTTATAAATTTGGTTCATATATAAACAGCATTGAAAAACTATAAAGTGATATGAAAAGAATAATTGCAAAATATTCTCTTCGGATTTGAGAATTGATACAATAGTTGAAGAAAAAAAAATTCGTTGCATTTTAAGTTTAATAGTGATTCTTTTGGTTAGAAGTGACTCAATTGAAATGTGGACTTTTAAATTATAATAAATGTTATTATATTTATTTCTTATACATAAAAACATAAATTAAATACACATGTATGTATATATAAAATTAAATACACTCAATTTAATTGCTAAATATTTTATTTGACCTCTCATATATAGTTTAGACCATACTCTTTTAAAACCAGGATTCCAAAACTACTATAAAATTATTACAAAGTCACGCAGTAAATGACTCCATTCTTTAAGCTCAAGTCAAGCAAAGAATTTCATCGATATTAAAAGAAATAATTACAAAGACGACTTTATAAAAACATTATTTGGTGAACATATATAGCTATCTAAATTCATGTTCAATGGGCTATCAGTAGTTCAAACTAAAATCGATTGATAGTGACTCATAAATTAGAGTGGTAATAAATTGCCTTCTTATTTTGTAAAAGATGAAATATTATTAATTTTTGTGGAACTATGAATAATAGTCACTTTTTTCTTGTGAAAATATTAAAATACCTCCTCCATACTTTTTTACTCAAAACCATTTTTAAGGTTCCAAAAATGATTTCAAGTAATTCAGAAATAATTTCTAGTGCTTTCTGAAATATTTAAATAATATCTTGAATTCTGTAATTAATTTCTAAAATTTCATAATCCAGAACACATAAAAATGTATTAAATTCTACAATTGATTTTTAAATTCTAGAAACGATTTGTGGGAGTCAGAAATTATGCATTATTTTTTATTTAAAAAATTTGAAAATAAAGTTAATTATGTCATTTCACAGGGTAAAGTGACATTATTCATACTACCACAAAAAGTAGTATATTTCATCTTTACATTCGATAAGAGTATAAAATCAAGACACTATGAATTAAATAGAGGGAATTTAGTGGTCAAAAAAGAATTGGTGAAGAAAACCTCGACTAAATGAGAAAAGAAACCTATTTAACACATAATTAGGTCAATAAAATAACGGAAAATCGGAAGAAAATGAAAGGAAGGTTTAGAATATGCGGATTAGGTCAATATATATATAAAATAAAAAAAAAAAAAAAAAAAAAAAACACCCCNAAAAGGAAGAATATGTGGATTAGGGCGCCAAACGAAATGAGAAGCTCTCCTCAACGCTCCACGAATTCAAACCCAAGCTTGTAATTTGTAAATCGGTCGAATATACGTAAAATTATCTTAATATTCCTAACTAAACTTTTTTATTAAAAAATCAAGTCGAACTCGAGAACATTTGAGTTGATTAAGTTCGAGTTGATTTCGAGTTGATGCATTTTTTCGTCAAATTGAGTCAAGCCTAAAAAGATTTGGCTCGTCGAGCTCGAGCTCAAGCAACAATTAAAAAAGTTAATGAGTCTATCTCGATAGGACAAATGTTCATCTCTGCTCATTTTGAAGCCTTAACGTAGATCTATCTTTTGCATGGAAAGTTTTCAAAACTAGTCTCACATGTATAGGAGAGCGATATTTTTGGTCCCGAAGGAATAGTGAAAATCAAAATAGTCCCACAGCTTTTAAAAAATAATAAAAAATAGGACTTGTGATGCGATTTTCGACTCGAAAAGCCACATCGTGTAGAGGTGATGTTTCTTCTTGACAAGCTGACAACAGTAATCACACGTGGCATGACACTATACCTGTGAGACTAGTTTTAAATTTTTTTCTTATTTTTATATTGTTATGCTCTTATCTTCTTATATAAATTATCATATATAAATATATTTAAATATGATATCAAGTAAACCTAAGACAAGTATTATGAATGTATATAATTATTTATTATAACTATCTATAAACAATTTCAATTATGAATAAGGATACATTATGCATTAAAATGAAACTAGAAAAACTTTTTAATCAATTATATTTTGTTATGTGTTATTTTTAACATTTATTCTTTTAGATTCTTTTTAATATTAAATTGTTATAAAATTATAAAAATAGTTTATCATGACATAATTATAGTTGATTATACCACTTGTGATGACTATTGTCAGCGTGTCAAGAAAAAATGTCAACTCAACGCGACGTGACTTTTTGGGCTGAAAATTACATCAAAAGTCTTACTTTTGATTAATTTTTGTAAAGCTATGGAACTATTTTGATTTTCACTATTCCGTCGAGACAAAAATTGTCACCCTTCTATATTCGTGGGGCTAGATTTGAAAATTTCCCTCTTGTGCATTGTCATGCCTCCATCTTAGCTTCTATACCCGTGGGGCTAGATTTGAAAATTTCCCTCTTGTGCATTGTCATGCCTCCATCTTAGCTTAGAATGTTAGAACTTAGAATTAACTCTCCCTATCTTCAATATATTATTATCATAAGCTTCACTTCATTTATAACTTGTTCAAACCATTTTCCTCCCCAAGATCTTCAAACACCCACCAAACATACTAGGAAAAGAAATAGCAAAACATATATTAACCAAAAAAAAAAACACATGAAGCAACATCTGGCTTTAATTATCTTCCTTTTACTCCAAAGAAACTATCTTCTTGCCCATGGAGATGATTTCATCAGAACAAATGGAATCCATTTTATGCTCAATGGCGTCCCATTTTACGCTAACGGCTTTAACGCTTACTGGCTCATGTACGAGGCCTCAGACCTTTCTTCGCGCCCCAAAGTCTCGGCCACTTTAAGACAAGCTGCCAGCCATGGACTCACCATTGCAAGAACTTGGGCTTTTAGCGATGGAGGCTACAGACCTTTACAGATCAGCCCTGGTTCTTACAATGAGCAAATGTTTAAGGTTTTTTCTCATTTCATTTCTTCTTTTGAAATTTTAAACATAGTTTTTGGTTCTCTTGGAATATTAACATAGTTTTTCTTATTTGTATGTTTTGGTGAAGGGGCTCGATTTTGTTGTGTCTGAAGCTAGGAGATATGGGATGAAGCTGATATTCAGCTTTGTTAACAACTTTGACGATTTTGGGGGCAAAAAACAGTATGTCAACTGGGCTAGAAGAAGAGGGCAAAATCTCCACTCTGCTGATGATTTCTTTACAAACTCCTTAGTCAAAAGTTTTTACAAGAATCATGTAAGGGTAAGTAATTATTTTTCTTTTTCTTTTTATTCCTTTCATTTTCTTTTACTATATGCTTCAATACATCTTTAATGCTGCAACTTGTTCTGCTTTCCTCTGTTTGCAAGCAATGAAAACCGGCTTAAGTGTGTTTTGTGTGTTTGTTGCAGTCTGTTATTAACAGACGCAACACAATTACTGGAGTTATTTACAAGAATGACCCTACAATTATGGCTTGGGAACTAATGAATGAGCCACGATGCACCTCAGATCCATCAGGCAGAACTATTCAGGTTCTCATATTCTATCCTAATAATCTGTTCTTTTTCCTTTCTGAATTTATTTAGGATATGATTTTATAGACTTTACACATTAGGGTAATTTCACAGGCTTGGATACAAGAAATGGCTTCTTATGTGAAATCCATCGATCAAAATCATTTGCTAGAAGTTGGATTAGAAGGCTTCTATGGTCAATCGTCAACTCGAATGACCGGGATAAATCCCGGTTTTAACTTTGGGACTGATTTTATAATAAACAATTTGATTCATGAGATCGATTTTGCGACCGTCCACTCGTACCCGGATATATGGTAAGCGAAAAATAAAAAAAAATAAAAATCTCGATATTCTGTTTCTTTCGAGTCATGCCTGTCTTTATTCTTTAGGCTGCCGAACTCGAGTGAACAAAAGCGGCATTCTTTTCTAAACAAATGGCTCAACACGCACATTCAAGATGCTGAGGCTATTCTCCGAAAGCCCCTTCTCTTTGCCGAATTCGGGAAATCTTCGAAAGATCGAAATTTCGAGCCTAGCCAAAGGGACAGGCTTTTCTATTTGGTGTATTCGAGGATTTATAAATCGGCCAGTCGAGGTGGAGTGGCTGCAGGTGGACTTTTCTGGCAGCTTTTGGCTGACGGCTTGGATTCTTTTCAAGACGGCTGTGGAATAATCCTCGACAAAGATCGTTCGACTGCTAATGTGATAGCTCACGAGGCTTTCAAGTTGTACCGTGTAAGAAAAATGTTGTTATCTTCGGCAAGAAGGAATTACCCGTGAGGACAATAAGAGTTGACAAGTTTTTTTGTATTTAAGGGCAAACAAAAAGGACTATTATAAACAAAGATGAACTTTTGCTTATTAATGTTCTTATAGAGATAATAAATGAATATCTCTTGGGGATGGATAGTTTTCGTCCAGGAGTCTTGAGTTTTGAAGAATGAGAAGGTGCTTGTGTTTTTGAGATGAAAATTTACTTGAATTATAACTGTTGTGATTCTATCCAGTAGCCTCACATGAGCTCTCACCATGATTTTTATTTTGTGTTTTATTGGGTTTTATCTATTTTTTATATGGTATATATTTATTATATATACCATAATTTATTGGTTGGATCATAATTTGATTTTAAAATTTTTTTTTTATATATAGTGCCTTTAGTAATAAATTTATATAAAAAATAGTAATTAAATATCTAAAAAAATTTAAATTTTTAAATGTTTAAACTTATTTATAAATAGTTTATAAATTTTCATTTTATTAAAATATGTTTTTTATATATGTTTAAAAAAATTAAATGTTACAAAATTTATTTAAAAAATTTACATCTCCTACCAGTTCGACCGACTGGTATTGATCGATTAGCAAACATTTCATTAAAATCTTGATTTTTTTTAAATGTCTCTCAAATTTCAAAGGAATACACTTTCCACAAATTTGATTTAGTTGATATCAAAATTAGTGATATTGTCATTATGTTAAAGAACGACATTTATCAAACCAAAATTATATAATTTTCATCAACTTCAGTAATCTTGGTGGTATTTAATTTAGATTTTTTAAGGTTTTTAAAAGTCTTGAGTATTCATTTGAAATTTTAAAAAGTTCTAGAAAATCTTGATGTATTTAACTTATTTAAGACTATGATTGTAAACACTTTTTAAGATTTGAGGGTGTAGAAATATTGGTTCGGCATCGTCCGACAAGCAAAATAAATTAAAGAGAAGTTTTTCTTCTTACGCAAGCAAAATAAATTAAAGAGAAGTTTTCTATTTACTTACTTGTGAATTAATTAAGTTCCTACTATTTATTATTAATAATATATGGTATATATTTATTATAATATGTATTATGGGGTCTTAATCTCCTAGAAGAAAAATTACATAATATATATCTTAGGGAAATGCTACGGTCCCGTTACGGAACCATTCCGTCGGGGTTTGTAACCGTTAGATAATCATATAACCGTCGGAGATAGTTGATTTAACTGTTATAAATCCTGACGGAATAGTTCTGTAACGGGACTGTAGCATCTCTCTATATCTTATATAATCACTTACCATATATGCCACTTGCATTAATGAGTTTGATTTTATGTCATAATTAGTTTTCTCTCCCTTGTACGACTAGGAAAAAGTGACAAAGACTATGAAAGAATGAGTTATCCACGCATGAAGGACCCTGGATGTTTTGTAGAAGATCTAAGGAGGATTTGGAATGATTCATCGCAAAATCATCCTAGATTTGGAAAATCAGTTATTTTAGGAAAGTTATGTTTCAACACGCTTTTGGAATCGGAATTCTGATGATCTCCAAACTACATACAGGGATTCTACTTCAAGGAACTTACTTTAAAAAAAAAGGGTGATCACTAACATGCTATGGAGGAAATCATTAGGAAGGAAATCAACTTCACATGAAAATGCAATGCATGGGAATGAGAAACCCTTACCTTTTAGGAGTTTGTATATATATATATATATGTTTGTGTGTGTGTGCGCGCGCGATTGAAGACTAATTGAAGGGAACCAACACTTATTGAATTATCATTCCAGAATTCACTGAGTGTTCGTGAGATTTTTAGTTTCTTTTATTTACAGTAATTCAACGTGTTTTCTTACATCGTTGAAACTATTTTTGTTCTTTGTCCACAAACACTTTGAATGCTTAGGGATTAAGTACTTTTGTATTTGGGAGGATCCATAGCTATTTTTTTAAGTCCACGTGTTGTGACCAAGAAAGTAGTTGATAGAGTCAGATAGTGTTGGTTAGATTAGAAGTGAGTCATATTCGTGTAATTCTAAGTTGTAGGCACTATTCTAAAAATCGGCCTAGGCGGCCGCCTCCGATTTGCACAAATCGACAAAAAAAATCGGTCAGGTGGCTACGCGGTGCCTAGGCGGGCCTAGGCGCTCCTAGGTGGACTTGGCGGGCTCGGCGGCCAGGCCGTTAGGCGGCACCTAGGCGGGCATAGGCGGACCTAGGCGCTCCTAGGCGGGCTCGGCGCCAATTTTTTAGTTTTTTTTTATTTTTTTTTTAAATACTAATTACATTATTTTGTTCTCATGTTTTCTTTCAAATATATTAATTTTATTATTTGGACTTACGCGTCTCGATTTATTATAAGTTGAGATAATTTTATTTTGTAGGTAGTTAAAATAAATAAAAAATAAGGTATTTAATATTGATTTCTAGGCCCAGAGTAGGCGCCGCCTAGGCTTCCCCTAGTCGCTCTAGGCGCTAGGGCGCTGGTCGAGTGCCTAGCGGACGCCTAGCGACTTTTAGAATACTGGTTGTAGGTTGTGCACAAACCGATCTATTAATGAAAGAGCTCTGATGGTAGTTGGACGCTCCCTAAAGACATTTGTTTTTCTATTGCTTTCGCCTTTTATTTCAGTGAACACACCTTGCGCACTCTACTCCCCCGACTCATTTTTTTTACGGGATTTCAAAAGAAAAAACCATATATGAAATTTACTTCAAATCTCATCTTCAAACTTAAGATTTTATATTCTTCCCAAATCTAAAAATTTTGTGCACTCTATTCCCTCAGACCCATTTTTTTCACAAGGATTTCAAAAAACAAAAAAAATATATATATGAATTCACCTCCAAACTTAAGATTTTATAAATTCCTCCTGAAAATTTTAAAATTCTCAAATCTCATAAAATCTTATTTAAATCTCGAAAATACACCCATAAGACTTCTCTCAACTAATCATTTTCCTTATGCAGAGAAAGAGATCTTCTTTGCTAAGGGCAAAGCAAACGCAGGGGTGTATCATATAATAGTGATAACAAATTTAGACCATCTCCAACCGAAAAACCCATTCCCAAACTCATTTTGCAGTAACTGTCACATCAAACAGTAATTTAACTCCAACCGAAAAACTCATTCTCAAACCCAAAAGAATATTCTCGGAATATTCTTTTTTCATCAACTTTTACAAATTTTAATACTACCCACATATGTTACAACTTTACAAATTAAACTACATTATTATTTTAAATTTAATTAGCAGTTTATGTAATAAAATTAATTATAATGTTATATACATAAGAAAATTGAAGAAACAAGTATTCATTAAAAGTGTTGAAAATTACAATGCAGGAGCGAGATGAAAAATAAATAAAATGAGATACAAATAAATATACTTGGTAATTTTAGTAGTGTTAATATTTCATTTTAATGTCAAAATTCTAGTCATGATTATAATTATCCTACAAAATAATATTTAACTATTACATTGCATACAAATAAAATACATCAATACAACTAAATATATATATATATATATATATATATATAGGGAGTGGTTCAAATAAAAACTAGTCCTGGTGTGAGAACCGTGAGAATCGTATTTGATGCTATTTTTTATTGTGTATGATGTTATTTTTAATATTACATGGTGCTATCATTTTCACATATGCTAATATAAATTGTGTTGATATTTTTAAGAAAATAGATCCATTTTAAAAATAGCACTAGAACAAATCAATCACACTATGTACAACTATAAATACCGGTTCTCACGGTTCTCACGCTAGAACTTAGTTCTCATTTGAACAAAATCTATATATATATATATTATACAAACTTGCTAGGTCGTAGTCACCTAGAAATAAATTAGCATCAAGAATTAATTATTTACATTCAGTTAAATTTTATATCCCTATTGTAGTCACGTAGAAATAAATTAGCCTCAATAATTAATTGTTTACATTAAGTTAAATTTTATATCCATAATATATTAAGAATAATTATTGCCATAAGTATGTGCAAACAAGAAAGGAAATAAATAAATTCAACTCACAAATATTCACTATGATGGGCAGATGGGATGATATTGCAATTTCTTAAAATATTTGCGTCTGTGAACAGGAGCAACGCATATTTGCGTTTGTACAGACGGAAAAAAAAAAGGAGAAAACGCAATTTGCGTTTGGCGTTGAGTATCGGTTGGAATAAAAATACCATTTTTTGAGTTTTGAAGCTCTCACTAGGCTATTTGCAGCAGGCCCCGGTATCTTATTCTTACACAGAAATTGAGCTTGCCAGAGCTGATTTACTGACATCGTCAAACATGGCGTTATCACTGAGGCCGTCAATTACCAGAAGATTATACTCAAATTCATGCTTAGCCCACGTCGACATCTTGGGCACCCTGATTCCCGACGACCGCCGTAAAGACCCCACGACTCCTAACCTCCATGACTCCTCACTAATCAACATGCTGGAGCTCAACTCACAGCTCAAGCTCCTAACAAAATCCGGCGACCTGAAAACCGCCCGCAACATGTTCGACACATTGCCCCAAAGGGACGAAATCACCTGGACCACAATGATTGCCGGCTACATCAGCTCCTCAGACCCATCCGAAGCAATTTCTTTATTCTCGAAAATGTGGGTCGACCCGGATGTCGTAATGGACCCATTCATACTCAGCCTTGCTTTGAAAGCGTGCGGCCTGAATGTAAATTTGGGTTATGGTCAAGGGCTGCACGGTTACTCCATAAAATCCAGCTTCATCCGCTCAGTTTTCGTTGGGAGTTCGGTTCTCGACATGTACATGAAGAATGGAAGAGTTCTTGAGGGGTGTTCGGTTTTTGACGAAATGCCGTCAAGAAATGTGGTATCTTGGACAGCAGTCATCACAGGCCTCGTCCGCGCAGGTCTCCACTCCCGGGGGCTTTTATATTTTTCCCAAATGTGGAAAAACGGAGTCGAGTATGATTCATACACGTTTGCCATTGCACTCAAGGCATGTGCTGATCTCGAGCTGTTGCACAACGGGAAAGAGATTCACGCCCGCATATTAAAAAGAGGTGTAGAAACAACCACATATGTGGCCAACAGCCTTTCCACAATGTACAATAAGTGCGGGAAAGTCGAATACGGCTCGTTTCTATTCGAGAGCATGACTAAACCGGACGTGGTCTCTTGGACGTCCATGATAACAACATACATCCAGACAGGCCAAGAGAAACAGGGGATTAATTCCTTTCCGCGCATGCGAGCATGCGGGATAAGCCCCAACGAGTACACTTACGCGGCTGTTATTTCGGGAGTCGCAAATATCGCGAATCTCGAGTGGGGCCAGCAGCTGCACGCGAACGTCCTGCTCGTGGGTCTCGCAGAATCTCTATCCGTAGCGAATTCTATCATGACCATGTACTCAAAATGCGGGCTTCCCGATTCTGCCCTTGAAATCTTTCGCCAAATGACTGCAAGGGACATAATCTCCTGGAGCACGATAATTGCAGGCCATTCTCAATTGGGCCATGCAGAGGAGGCCTTCGAGCTCTTTTCGCAGATGAGGAAAGAAGGCCCGAGGCCCACCGAGTTCGCCCTCTCGAGCGTGCTGAGCGTTTGCGGCAGCATGGCTATTCTCGACCAAGGGAAACAGCTCCACGCGTACGTTTTATCCGTCGGCCTCGACCAAACGGCCATGATCCCGAGCTCCCTCATAAACATGTATTCAAAATGTGGTTGCATTTTCGACGCGGCGAAGGTTTTCTCACTTACCCTAAACGACGATATAGTCTCGTGGACGGCAATGATCAACGGATACGCGGAGCACGGATTGAGTCGGGAAGCCATCGAATTATTCGAGAGAATTCCGGACGCGGGCCTTCGGCCCGACTCGGTGACTTTCATCGGTGTCCTCGGCGCGTGCAGCCACGCGGGGCTTCTCGGTCTCGGGTCCCACTATTTCGACTCCATGATTGAAAAATACCGAATTTACCCCTGTAAAGAGCACTACGGGTGCATGATCGACCTGTTTTGTCGGGCGGGGAGGTTAGAAGAGGCCGAGAGGATGATGAGAGAAATGCCGTTTGAGAAAGATGTCGTGGTCTGGTCGAGCATGCTGAGGGCTAGTCGGGAGTGTGGTGACGTGGAGCGCGGGCGGGTGGCGGCCGAAGAGGTGATTAGGCTAGACCCGGAGTGCGGTGGGACCCACGTCACGCTGGCGAATATGTATGCGTGTGGTGGGAGGTGGAAAGAGGCGGCTGGGGTGAGGAGGTTGATGAGGTGGCGGGGTGTGGTGAAGGAGCCCGGGTGGTCGTGGGTGAAGGTGAAGGAGGACAGAGTGTCGGCTTTTGTGGCGGGGGATAGGAATCATCCGAGATGCGAGGAGGTTTATGGGGTGTTGGGGTTGGTGTATTGTTCGAGTGAGGAGTTGAGTTTCGAGGAGGTTGATTCGAGTGTGTGTGTTTTCGGAGGGTAGAGGGGATGATGATATTGGGGGAGGTTTGAAGAAGTGAAATGTGTATTTTTGATGGCTTTGTGTTGTTTGAGGATTAAAACGCCGAAAGTTCCTCTGAAAGATGGATGTTATCTGCTGAGCCATGTGAGCGTTTGGGCTGCAACTAAAGGGGCATACATATGTTGAAAACTTTTGACTAGCTGTTTGGGGAACACTAACTAGCGGGTAATGTCAAAGATCGTGAAGAAAATGGCACTTGTGATGTATATATGGTTAAACTTGAGGTTTTTCCTTTTTTTTTTCTTTTTTTTTTTTTTTTTTTTTTGCCAAGCCTGATGTTGTGGCATCTCAAAATAAGAACTGTGGTATCTTGAACTATATATGGTAGTGAAAGGGGCTTGATTTTGTTGTTTCTAAAGCTAGGAGATATGGGATTAAGCTGATATTAATCTTGGTTAATAACTGTGAAGACTCTGGGGGCAAAACCCATTATGTGAGCTGGGCTAGAAGTCAAGGGCAATATTTCACATCTGGTGATGATTCCTTTACAAACTCCCTAATCAAAAGTCATTTCAATTTTCAAGAATCATATAAAGGCAAGTAATTGTTACTTCTCTTTACTTTTCTTGTTTTTCTATTCATTTTCTTTACTGTATGCTTCAATATATAGTTAATACTGCAACTTGTTCTGCTTTCCTATGTTTGGAGCAATGCAAATCGGTTTAATGTATTGGTTCAGATTATGTGTTTTCTATTTACTGATTGTGTGGTACTTGTGTTTATTGCAGGCTGTACTTAACAGACCCAACAAGATTATTGGAGTTGCTTACAAGAATGACCCGACAATTATGGCGTGGGAACTAATGAATGAGCCAAGATGCAACTCACATTCATAACGCTGGACTAATCAGGTTCTCATACTTGGTTCTATTCTCTCACTTTTGTTCATCCATAAATCATAACAGCAATACTGTAAAGACGTGAGATAGTTATGTCCAAACACAGCAGTTTTTAACTTTATATATCCTCGTGTTAGTTTTGTTCATTCGAACGAAATTTCATATTTACCTTTTGTGCCTTTGATACATTTCACTTAATTAAAATGTATTACCGATATATACAAACTGTAAATTAACATAAAATTGTATTAAACAAAAACTAAAATATATCATGTTTTTCCTAGACACNAAAAAAAAAAAATCTGATGGCACTGATAGGGATGCAAATGTAAAACAAATGATTTATACAAATCTTACATTTTAGAGAAAGAGGTGTAAACTATCAAAAACAATATCTTTCTTCAGTAATTAAGGTCCACTCACGGCCACATTATTACGATCAGATGGGATCACCTTTCCTCCACCATCCACGTACGAATAACGTGCACCAGAAAACCAACACAAGACCCAACTGCACCCAAAATAACTACAATTCTAACCCACAATGAGGATACAAATGCATCTAATACAAAAGAATTCCAGCCCAAGAACCAAATAATTGAAAAAATCGACCCAATTATGGCCCCAACGACCACCTGCATAGCCGTATGAAGTTGTTGGGAAACTCGAAGCCATGACTGCACAAGGAAATTTTCCAAAAGTTTAGAATCGTCCACATTTACACCATAGAGTTATGAATGCAAGAAATTATTCAAAAAAATTTCATACCGATACTCGTCAATAATGCATAAAGCATTTTGTGATAGCAGAATGTTAACTAGCGAGTTTATGTGAACTTTTACAATGTTCAATGGCTACTAATGACAAAATAAGCTCGCGAAACTCTTAAATCCGAGCTAACGATTCGTGTACTTACAAAATAAGAACCGAGTATGACGAGAAATCCCCCTAGAGTGGCTGTCAGCACATTCATCCCATACCACTCTACCACTGCATTTAACAATATACAACAAATACAACCTTCAGAAACTTTCCATCCTAAAATAGACTAGGTAGCGTTTATCAATTAAAATGAACTTAACAGTTGGGAATTAAATAACCCCCAAAAGTGGAGTACACACATTCACACCACATTCATCACACAAGGATAATTATTATCGCTAAAGTATGTGATGAAAATGCATCTTTAAAGGTTATCCCTGACTCACTTGCCAAATTGAGAAATAAGACTGTGTAGAAGATGGCTTGTGCATGAGATGAAGGCATTCCTGGGTCTGATCTCAATGTAGAAATAGGCCTTTCTTGGTTTAGTAACTTCTTAAGTACCACCGAGAGTTGAGCATTGAGAATAGCACCCATAGCTGCCCATAATACTTCGGGATCATGCTTCCACAGAACAATTGCGGCAAAAAGTGCTGAGACGAGCCACTTGCTCTGAGTCAAGTGCAACAAACAACAAAAATCAGAATATGTACTCATTAAAACTTCAAGTGATAAAATTAGGAATACCAACCTTCGAGTTTGGCTAAATTGTGGCAAAACCAAAACCCAATCAATTTTCAATGATATTAATATTTTCTAAAGGTATTTCAAAGCTCAAGATTCTGTGAGTGCCTAAAGTGTGTAGCCTTCAGGGTATGTAGAGGTACTGTTTTGAACTAAAAAATTGATCATTTGGGAACATGGAAGAAATGACATTTGGAATCGTATTTACACGAGTGATGCCTCTTCTTTTTAATTCAGTAAAGCAAAGAAACACAAATCAGCAGGATCAACATCATCTAAACATCAGTCACATCTTTAAACAAACTTTCACATTAGACATTCGGGGCATTTTAAGCGAGCACACAGAATATTTACGCTTATCCATCAGCAATAAATCACATAAGTTGTTAAACACTTTTAAACAAGACTTGATATGAGTCAGCAGCTACATACAACTTCATATGAGTGTTAGAGAGTCTATAGATTGAAAGTGCATGAAGATGCTTTAGGAAAAATGATTCATAATTCAGTTCCTAAAGAAGAGAACCAAGTTACACATATAGAATGATTGTGGTATTATTTTGTATTAAATATCTTTGAAACTTTTGACAAGTACGACATTCTTGAATTACTTGGTCCTTAATTCCTGACCAAAATACTTTCGAATTATTGACAAATCATCTCATATTTTTGTAATTCTTAAGCGTACGACAACCATGTAAGCTTCAACTTCTAGACTTTAGTAGATGTCATTTATTTACATCTAACCAAAAATTGCAGAAGCCGAATGCATTTTGTTCATCCGCTGAAAGCAAAAGTTTCCTTTCCACTGACCAAATGTATTGAAGTAATTGACATCTAAGTAAGCACAAGATTTCGACTATGTCAATAAATAAACCTCAAGTGCTTGCATCTCTTCATATTAAAACAAGACAAAAACTCAGCTACCAAACTAAATTCTGCAAATGTTATCATTACTAAGCACAGTCCATTGCTAAGGTTATGACAGAGCACCTTTCATCTGTCTACAGCAGAAAAAGCTCAGTTGGTGCCAAAGTAGCTCATAACTTTGGCCAGAACAACAAGTTCTTGATTTTTTCGTCATTGCACACTGATTTTTCCTTTCCCTTCTGTTCTTTTAATGATTCCCACATTTTCCAATAGCAACGCTTCGTATAATTTTCATATCAAACATAGTGCAACTTGACTCTAGTTATTTCATATAATTTTAAACCATCATCACATGTTTCTATTTTGCAGTATGCCCTGATCTACTACAAATAATGAAGAGCATTCAACGAGGATAAAAATAATAAAGAGCAATCAACGAGGATATACACAGCCCACAAAGAAGATGAACACTTAATTAATAAAAAAGTAAAATTTATAAAATTTCACGAACCAAGCTATTGAGAGTAGCTTCGAGTCGACCAGCTCCGAGTTTCGAAGACCCATCCACAAAAGCTTCCTGCTCAAAAACCTCAATACTCTCATCGTTCGTACTAGCCCGATCATATATCATAATATTCTGTATTTTGGTCCCACGAGCCCAAGATACAGAGTCTCTGCAGTTAAAATCAACTCGAGAATCTAATCTTTTGGCAAAATTTTTACTGGGTTTCAGAAAATCCACACGAAAATCTAATCTTTTAGCGGAATTTTTACTGGGTTTCTGAAATTCTAGCCGTGAATCTAATCTTTTGGCGAAATTTTTACTGGGTTTGTGAAGCTTTCTTGATTGGGATAAACTAAAAGTAGCTACAGTTGTGGGAATAACAGAAAGCGCTGACATTCTTTTTCTTCTTTTGTTTGTGTTGTTTTCTCACCTTTTTGTTTTTCTCATGGTGCGTTTGGTTACCGGTAGAGCTTCATTGATAAAAATTAAAAATAAAATAAATAAAAATCCACAAAACTAGAAAAGAAAATAAAACACATCAAAGACTTTCTTTAGATTGGCGGATTTCGGGGAGATTTTCTGAGGCCATCTCCAGCTCTTATCTCTAATACTCTAGAGTAGAGTTGAACATTCATTTTCATCCCTTATTTCTACATTTTACTCTACATCAAATATATTATTTTTCTATTCATTTTTTATTTCAAATAAATAAGTATATATATATATTTAATAACAAATATATTTTATTTATTTTACAATAAAAATATATTTTATTAATTTTATTTTAAATATTTTTTTACTACTTATTAGATGTGTTAAACTTTTTATTCATATGATACCATTTTAATATTAAAAAATTAAAAAATAAAATTATAATACATCAATAAATAAAAGCACAAAATTATTTAGCAAAAAAAATTATTGCACAAAGTTCTTTAGCATAAAATACATTTATTAATACACACTATACAAAAATTTATCATTAATATTACATAACAAAAAACAAAAAAAAAAAAAA